TATGTTGATTATATACAAAACACATTTTTTTTATTTTATTTAGCCGATAATGGTTCAATGTCATTTTGGGATTGGAATTCAGGACATAAGTTTCAATCATTGGAAACAACCGTTCAACCTGGTTCTTTAGAATCCGAAGCTGGAATATTTGCTTCTGCTTTTGATCGAACGGGATTAAGGTTGATTACTTGTGAAGCAGATAAAACCATTAAAATCTGGAAAGAGGATCCAGAGGCTGTACAAAATTCTGATGACATTTAAAATAAAAAAAAATGTGTTAAGATTGTGTGAACGTTGATCGATTTTTAAAGATAGAATTTTCAAAAATAATCGTTTTAATAATTTTAATAACTAGTTGGCCACCCATTTTTGGCGATGCATTCTTCTACTCTTCTGGGTACATTATCAATTAATCTTAAATATTTTTCGCGTGGAATTCCTAGTTCATCTTTATTTTTGGATGTGTGGGACGTCTTTTAATCCTCTACTATGTTCATCCCATAGGTGTGCAATTGGATTAAGATCTGGAAATTGAGGAGGCCAATTTTCCATAATTCTTTTCTTACCTTTTTTCCGGATAACCATTTTATCACATTTTTAGTCGAGGTGCGTTATCATCTTTAATGAATAGCAACAAGTCATTCTCTAAAATATTTATATATTATTTATGGTTGGTTCACTATCTCTTCTACTCTCGCCAATTTTCCTAATGCTTTAGCTGTAAAACTATGATTCTTCCCCTGCCATGCTTTATCGTAGGTGACAAATTTTCAATACTAAAACGAGTCTCATTTTCGCGCCAAATTCATCCATCACTACCAAATATTGTAAATCGATACTCCTCCCCCATTATCTGCTTTATTGTACAGTTTCGCCGATAAATACACCATTCAAGTCGTTTTTGACGTTGAGTTTCTGCAGTACGAGAATTTAAAACCAAATTTATATAGGTTGTTTTAATCGAAACATTTAAGCTAGTGGATTGGGTCAAGAGAACTTTTATATCACTAGAGTAGCTCTATTATTATTAATAACAATTTCTTTTAAGGCATTTTTTTATCGTCGTCAAGCAATTTTGGTCTACTGTTTTTTTTTGCTTAATGGTGTTCAGAATTCCATAACGCTGAATTGTATTTTCCACAGCTCACTCACCAATTTCTTTTCTTGTATTGTATGACCACCTTTGAAAAGACCAATTTTCGGTAATCAAAAAGTTACATAGTGAATTGTTTCATATCTTTAATAGCCATGTTCCTTGACCTCTTAATATTATTTAATATTAATGTCATTATTAATATTGATTATGAAAAAGCAAATT